TTTGGTCAAATATATATGTCAATTATTAAAACTCCAAAACTTGTGGCTGTCAAAGGTTTTCTATCCAATATCTTCAAAAATGAGTTAACAATGATTGATAACCAATTATATTTCCAAAATGGATGGAAGAAATTTGTAAATACACATCATTTTAAATACCAAGATTTATTAACATTTACATACAACAATAATATGACTTTCGAAACTTTTTTGCATTCTAAGTTAGCAAGTACTATAATGATATTCAACCAACAAAAGGTAATGTTTTCACTCTACCTCTAATTGATATATTTCTTATGTCATGAAATTACAATCATTTTATTCCTTCCTATTCTTTCCAAAGAAGATTCAACAAACCAAACAAGTTCTTCTAGTAACAATATACTAGATGCAATAGAAATTGTAAAGATTGAAAATTTAAATTCTAAATTAAATTATCATGCTCAATCTTATCATCCTCAAAGGATACAAAATAAAAATAATGGTAATGACAAATTACCTATGTTTCATTGGTTGTTGATCAAGTCAACTACCAAAAGACATTACATTTTAATAATAAATTATCTATAAACTATGATTTACATAAAAAATAATTTATGAAATTAAAAAAAGTTTATTAACAATTCTTGTATATTATTATGATATAATATATGCTAGCATATTTCTACAAATATATGCCTGAGCAACACACATATCACTCTGTTGATATCTAGGGAGAGCAAATTTTGGCCTATGCATAACAATGCTAAAAGCAAAAATATTTCACAATAGGCTAAAAAGAATTTACTATTGAAAATCACTTAAAAGCTAGTAAATATTGTTTTTTTACTATGTGAAAAAAAAAAAACACTTTTAAAGTGATAATTAATCTTAACAATAAATAAATATCTTTTTTACTTTATTATAACTTCAAGTATAACAATTATACTTCGTTTACTCTATGATCTTAAACATTTTACTACCTTATTTTTCTTTTTGCTCATTCCTTAGTTGATGCAATTATTAAAATTTTTTATTTTTCATTCATATTCTTCACTTTCATTATAAAAAAATTGTCCCCAACATCATCCAGGACAACACAGTGGTTTATAATAAGTTCAACATACTATTAAATACTATATATAGTAACTCTTTTGTAAAAAAAAAAAAATTATAACTACTCTTCATCAAAACAATGCAATTCCAATGTAACAACCCTCTTAATGCACTTCTTACCAATTCTATCAACATCTCGTAAATATATCCCATTGTATGCCATACGCCACATGCCAGGTCTCTTTAACAATTTGAATCAAATATTAAATACTATACTAACTCCTCATCAAACCCCAAAACAATCAGACTACCAACCTTTTTAACACTAGATCTATCCAAACCTTTCTAAATTTCTCTATCAAAATCCAAATACCCATTTTTTCTCTATCGAATACCTATTATCTTCAGAAAAAAAACATGCCCAACCATGATTATTCTCACATAGAGATGCTATAAATCTCAACGAACTTTCATGATTCACTATGGTTTTGTATCATTAAGATACTATACAAGATTTTGTCGTAATAATATTTCCAACCCTACTTAATTTATTTATATTTTATTTGTTTTTTCCATACTATTGTAATTCGATTCCTTAAAAATATATTCACAATTTATTTTTATTTTGTTTTTCTCCTTTTATATTTGATTTATGATTTAAAGTTGTATTTGTTTATATTTATTTCTAAACTTTCTTATGACTCAATTTATAAAACAACTTTGTTCTGTTTGATAATTTTATGTTTATTTTTTCTCACTAGTACAATAACAACTTTGCTGTCTCAAATATAGGATTTTATTTTATTTCTATATCTTAACAAAGAAACCATAGATTCAATTTCACTTTGGTGTGACTTTTCTGCTTTCTGTAAATAGTTTTTTAGGGTTTTGAGATCTAAAGTATTTTTACTAATTGTTTATAGATTCTTTTCTTTAGAAAACATTTTTTATGTAAAAATTTTAATCTTTGAGTTTCTCTTTTTTTATGGGATTGATTCAGATTACTAAAAGTGTTTAGCGCTTTCTTTTTGACATTTGGAGTTTTTGTCCCTTTTTTTGTTTACATGTTTTTTGTAAAAAAAAAAAATCTCAAATTAATACTATGAATTTCAAAACCTGATGAAAGTACAATAACTTTACTGATATAAAATATCTGAATTTAAATCTAGCACTACTTCAACCGATTGTAGCACTATGCCAATTTATTTTGTCATCATTGCATTTTCTCTCTAAAAATAATTATTTTACGTTTTATAATTCTTCTAATTTTGGTATCACTTTATTTATTATTACCCTGTTGTTATTAATTCTTTAACTGTTTATAAATATTGTCACCTTAGAATCTATAATGTTAACTATTTACAAATAGTTAATTTTAACAAAATCATAAACCAATTATCTTCATTATACTTTTTCATTTGTACTTTAAAAACTATATCGATAAACTAAAAACGAAATACCATTACAGGAACTTCCATAAAGTTTTGCTTAAAAGTGTGTGTCAACTATTTAAACTCCAATACCAATGCATATTAATAGTTTTCTTCCAAATTCATTCAAAATGGAGTTGACAAAAATTGATAGCCAATGATGCTTCCAAAATGGATGGAAGGAATTTGTTGATATACATCATTTTAAATACCAAGATATATTTAACTTTCACATACAATAATTATATGAATTTTAAAGTTTTTTTGCATCCTGAATCAACCATCATTATAACATCAAATAACCTGTAAGAAATAAAAAGTAAGATTTTTATTTGACATACATTATACTTGTTATATTTTCTATTGTTTTAGTTAAAAAAGATTTTAGAAATTAGGCAACTTTTGGCTCAAATTATGATACTCAATCTTATTATGCTAGAGCTATGGAAAGTGAAAATGGCATTGATTGTAATCCTCCTAGTTTTCATTACTTAATGACCAACACAAATGTCGAATCATATTCCATCTTGTTAATAAATTATGCATAGACTATTGTCATATATTATTGTATAGTTTCAATAATGAATTGAATTGAATGAACCATACATTTGAAATTATCACCTATCACTTTTTACAAATTTTGTTAATAATTTTTTATCATATTGTTTCCGTAGCATATTCCAACTTATTTCTACTAGTATCTCCCTAACGACATACTTTATCACCTTGTTGGTTCATAAAGAGAACAATCATGAATTATATATTACAATATCCAAAATAAGTCATATTTAGGAAGATGGAAGAAAGTTGTTAGTGACAATTAGCTGAAGGTCGGTGATTATTGTTTCTTTGCTATGATAACACACAATACTTTTGAAATGATTATCTATCATGACAATGAACTTCTTTATTATTATTTTGTAACTTTGACTTTAACTGATATACTTTTTATTTTTAGAACCATTTTGATATTATAATATTGAACGGCATAAAACTTTGACTCTGAATTACTATATTTTCTTTAATCTATAACTGACTTGATGCAATTACTTTTACTGCTTTGTTTCATTTCAATGATTAAATAATACAACTTTTCTTTGATAATAAAAAATTTTATTTTTATCAGTAAAATAAATCTATAATATCACACAGGCCTTTGTGCTAGTTATATTTAAATCAAACCTAACTTTGCTTGTAAACACTTATTGGAACCCCCAACAACCTTTCCTCGTAAAAGGGGAAAAAAGTAGTCATTTTAGTCCCACAATTAAAAAAAAAAAGACAACACTAATTTGATAAATTTACTATTATTTAATGGAATTAAGTTGGTTTAGTTTAGTTGTTGCTTTTTTTTTTAATAGAAAGTAAAAATAAAAAACTACAAAAATAAAATGAAAATAAAAGATAAATAAAAAAAGTAAAAATAACAATTAAATAGAAATTTAATTGTTTAATATAACAAAATTACATTTAATATGACAATTTACTTTGTAAACACTAAACAGTAATCACTTTTAATCCAAAGTTAAGGTTGAGTAAAAATCTAAACTTCAAGTTATTCATATCCTATTTTTTTAATTTTAATTCAATTGAATTGATTTATATAATTATTTTTAAAAAAATTATATTTAATAAATATAAATTTTAATTAAAAATTTAAAAAAAAAAGTCGAAAAGATAGGTTTCTTTGATTTGCTAGTTTCAAGGTAAAGCTTTGAGTGTCCGTCTTTTAGTGTCTTAATTTAATTAGGGCTTCGTGTGTATAGCTCATGACAAGGTATTTTCGTGATGCGATAGAATCCTGTTTTGGCCAACCATTCAAATGAAATATAAGTGAGGATTGTGTCTTTTAAAAAACAGTTTATTTGATATAAAGGAAAAGCGAAAAAGATTGGTAATTTAAGACCAGCAATGGTAGTACAACTAATATTAGGCATCTACTTTTTTTTACACTCGTCTGCTTGTCGATGTATATCACAAATTGGTAAGTTTGCAAAGGACCAAAAAAAAAAAAACAATGCTTTGGTTTAAGATTTGAGTGCCACATTTAATAAATTTTATGGTATCATTCATTCATGAACACGTTCTTCTGCATATTTTTTTGGTGATGCATGATTCAAAATCTTATATACTGTAAATATTCCAATGGCAAAATATAAATGATATAAAGCAGTGTTTGCAGATCTGGATCTCTAGATTATTAAACTCGGAATTCAAGAATTGAAGAGGAATTTCACGCATGCATATAGAATAGAATCATAGATTAATTAATTAGCTGTTGAATTGTGACTGCTATGCGATATGATGGTTTATCCTAACTCGCTGCTCACCATATATAGTAAATTGGTTCTCGAGTTTGAAATGAACTTGATTGCGAATACTATTACTTTCTTCTTCAGTTTATTTAGTGGAAGGTAAGGGACCAAAATTTGACAGAAAATCAATGGTGTGTTGATGAAGCCCATGGGAATTAGGAATTAGGACCATATATTGAGATAAGAAGCGATTAGTGTGGGTCATGGATTTGGGCCTAAACCAACCCAAATCCTAGACTACAAAGTGTTCGTCAGTCACTTTACCACACAAGCACCCAAGCGATTCCCCTTGCCATCCCTTAAACCCTCCGCTGAACCCTACCAAGTTTCACCGTCAACAAAACCAAAACCCTCCCTTTCCTTTCTTTAACCTCCCAAAAAATGGCACTTTACAAGCCCACCTTCCTCACCCGCCTCAAAACCCTTTCCAAACCCCACCGCCGTTCACCTCCCTCTTTCATTGCACTCCGCCACCTCTCATTTAACACCCCGGAAGAAGCCGCCGCCGAACGCCGTCGTCGCAAGCGTCGCCTCCGCGTTGAACCCCCTCTCTCCTCTGTCCAACGCCCTCAACAACTGGCTCAGCAGGTGGCCCCACCAAAGCCAATCCAAAACCCTAATGCCCCTAAAATCCCCGAACCGGTCACTGTACTTGCCGGCAACCGCCTCAACCTCCACAACAAGATCTTAAAACTCATCCGCGACAACGACCTCGATGAGGCCGCTCTTTACACGCGCCACTCTGTTTACTCCAATTGCCGCCCCGCAATTTACACTGTCAACGCCGTCTTAAACGCCCAGCTCCGCCAATCGAAATACGCCGATCTCCTCTCTCTCCACCGCTTCATAACCCTAGCCGGAATTGCCCCCAATGTGATTACCCACAATCTTATTTTCCAAACTTATCTTGATTGTAAAAAACCCGATACTGCCCTCGAACATTACAAGCAGTTTAGCAATGAGTCCCCCGTGAATCCTTCTCCTACTACTTATAGGATTTTAGTGAAAGGGCTGGTGGATAATGGGAAACTGGAGAAGGCTTTGGAAATGAAGGAGGAAATGGTGGAGAAAGGTTTGGCTCGTGACCCTGTTGTTTATAGTTATTTGATGTTGGGTTGTGCCAAGAGTGGGGATTCAGATGGGATTTTTAAGCTTTTTGAGGAGTTAAAAGAGAAGAAAGATGGGGTGGTCTATGGCTGTTTAATGAGAGGTTATTTCATGAGGGGAATGGAGAAGGAAGCTATGGAGTGTTATGAAGAAGCTTGTGGGGAGAATTCAAAGGTTAAAATGAGTGCTATTGCTTATAATTATGTTCTCGACGCTTTAAGTAAGAATGGGAAGTTTGACGAGGCTTTAAAGTTGTTTGATAGGATGAAAAATGAGCATAGTCCTCCTAGGAGATTAGCAGTGAATTTGGGAAGCTTTAATGTGATTGTTGATGGATATTGCGCAGAAGGTAAGTTTAAGGAAGCCATGGAGGTTTTTAGGTTAATGGGTGATTATAGGTGTAGTCCGGATAGTTTGTCATTTAACATTTTGATTGATCAGTTGTGTCAAAATGGACATTTGGGTGAAGCTGAGGAGGTATGTGGTGAAATGGATGATAAGGGGGTTAGCCCTGATGAGTATTCTTATGTTTTGCTGATGGATGCTTGTTTTGAAGTGAATAGGATTGATGATGGGGCTTCTTATTTTAGAAAGATGGTGGAGTCGGGTTTGAGGCCAAACTTGGCTGTTTATAATAGATTGGTTGATGAATTGGTTAAAGTAGGGAAGGTGGATGAGGCGAAATCGTTCTATGATACAATGGTCAAGAAGCTTAAGATGGATGATGCAAGCTGTAAGTTTATGATGAAAGCACTTAGTGATGTGGGGAAGTTGGATGAGGTGCTGAAAATGGTTAATGAGATGCTAGACGATGAACATGCTGATTTTAGTGAGGAGTTGCAAGCATTTGTTAAACAAGAGTTAAGAAAGGAAGGGAGAGAAGAGGATTTGACAAAGCTTATGGAGGAGAAAGAGAGACTGAAGGCCGAAGCTAAGACTAGAGAAATTGAGGCTGCGGAAGCAGCCAAGAGAAGTGCAAAAGCTGCTGTCGCTTCTTTACTTCCATCTAAGTTGTTTGGGAAAAAAGAAGATGAATCTCAGTCTACTTCAGCCACTGAAAACACCATTGAAGCTTCCTCTGGGAGTGAAGCGCAAGCACAAGATGGGAGTGAAGGTTCTATTGAGGAAGCTAATGTTCTAGAGTCTGTTGCTGTTGATGCAAATACAATGACTGAAGCTACGGTCGCAGATTCTGATGCTGTTGATACGAAGCCATTCTGATGAAACGTGGTCTAAAACTGGTGTTGCAAATAGAGAGCAGGTAATAGCTCGTTGGTTTTGGAAGGAGAAAGTTTCTTCTTGTGTTCCTTTATGGACGTAGTGTGAAAGTTTCTTCTTGTGTTCCTTTATGGACGTAGTGTTATCTGCTTGTCTAATCAATTTATCTGTAATTAAGGGATATTGCAAATATGGCTGTACGGTCATAATTATTGGTGGGAATGCGTGTTGAAAATTTATTTCAAATGGCACAATTTGTTCGGAGTGCCGTAGATCATGTGTTGAGCTCCCTTCTTTTAGTGCTGGAATAGTGGGCATAGCTTTTATTTAAGGGTGGATTTTCAGCCCCAAGATTTTTCTTTTGTTTTCATTTATTTTGGCTATCAAGCGTAAAAACTGAGGATGGAATCTTATCGGGCTTGGTAAGCAGTATCATTTCTACAAAATTCAACTTTGCCCTTTTTGAAGTTGTTTAGTCTTATCCCCAATCCCTTATTAACTTCTAACTGCGAAACCATTGATTTTGTGAGGACTGAGGAGATCAGCAACAGCAAGAGACTTGGATACGCCTTAAATTTCTTTGGATGAGTTTGGAACAGTCTCTTCAGTCTACACTGAAATTCTAGAAAGTCAGGCACAAGCTTTAGCTCCACATAGCCAATATTTTGTCCCTCCCCCCCCCCCCCCCCTTTTCCCAAGTCTTCAAGCATCCTTGCGACTCCTTTTTCTTCTTCCTTCTGCTCTTCCCCATTTATTCGTCTGCATCCTCCTACTCGCAAAGACCATATATATGCAAGCTAATCCATCCATCAAATATAACATTAAAAATAAAAGTTAAAAATAGGACTTAAATTTTCTGTCGGTGTAATCTGCCAAGAATCTAGCTTGATTTGGCTGGAAAGCATCAGAGGGATAGCAATGGAGACTTGTCATTCCAAACGCTATGGTATCAATGTAATTAATGATTATCAGGGACTTGTAGATTGGCTTTCCATTATAAATCAAAACAGCGATTTTCATATGAATTGGGTTCATCGCTAAAAAAGCATCGGGCTTTCGTCAAACAGATCGTCTCCCTTGGACTAGTCTTCTCACTCTAATCACGAAAAGGTTCCACCATTAATATAGCTGTAGCACGTTGCCCATTTGTTAATTGAACTTTCTCGGTCTTGTTGCTTATATCTAAAATCCTATAAGTTCATTCTTCATGAAAAATTACAAAATTAAATGGCCCACTGAGAAAGCCATTAATCGATGCAATTCCCGCTTGAAGTAAACTTGATAAGTATAAACAACGAGAAGCAATCTAGCAAAGATTCTTGGGGGCTGCAAAGAAGGTGGATTCATGTTTTCATTGGTAAACAAAGGGGGAAGGATAGGTTGATTTCTGCCAGACTGTTTTTTGCAGCAATAAAATGGATTGATGGCAAACCAGGTCTTGATTCAACGTCTTGATCCCAACTGCGGAGGGGTGAATTGGAGAGTACGGAGACCAAAAAATAAAGGGAACAAATTTCAACGAAGAATGGAAAACTTGCAAAACTGCAAACCGATCGAGCTGAAAATTTCAGAAACCATTTTAATCCGGACTTTGAATAATTTCATTACCGATTTATAGATGAATGCACGATCATTCGCACATTTTAGCAACATCACCAAGTGTAGAATGACAGGATGCCTGAGTTATACTCTATTCGAGCATCAGTTAAATTGATCATATTATTGCAAACAGATGGATAGGGAGGAAAATATGCTTATTACACATTTCATTGAAGCTGAAAACTTTTCAAGCCTTCTGAAAACTTCCATCCATTACAACATACCTGAAAGGGTTGGCGGAGGTAGAACACACAGCGGAAATCGTTCAAAACAAATCAAGAAAAAAGTTTGTCAAAATCAATTCTCTCAACTACATAAGTTTGGTATGCACACACCAGCATCCGGATTTTGTTGTTCCTTCCATATCCTGCCAGTAACCCTCAGCTTTAGCTCCTTCCTGTCCCCACCAGAGAAGAAAAGTGCCATGTTACGTTGGATAATTAGACCATCATGGCTGTCCCTTACTTTCCGGTGACTATCACGGATGCTACGTGGGGTACCTTCCCATATAAGTTTCTGGCCATTTGCTCCAACCTCAAGGCTGTAGCTATAGTTCCTAGCCTCCATCTCATCACCCATGAAACGGAGAAATGCCATGTAGACAGGAGCCATGCCCAGCTGGAAGGCTTCAAAGTGAAGGCAGAAATACTGACCAAAACAATGGAAGACCTGACAAAGAGCAGATAAGCCAGCAGATTGAGGCTCAGATTAGGAAGATTATTACAGACCAAAAGATTTCGTTTCTAGGAGAAAATAATGTTGTTTTTTCTTCTTCATTTTATTTTCATGGCAGAAAGTATTGCCGTTTTCTCCAGCTTGTTGCAGTGTGCCCCATTGTATCTGACCATCCCAGAATAACTCATCAAAAGATGGCATGGCTGAAAAATAGGGCACTTCTTATTATTGTTTTCAAATGTAGTGGGCCACTTCAGAAAATAATAAATGCTAGATAATAAAAATTATAAAACTTACTGTTAGCATCCAAGTAGCGTTTTCCACTTCACGGGGGTTGGACTTCACATAACGATGGTTAAATGTGCAACCAGTATGCATGTCCACCTTGTGGTCATCCCTCAGATGGGCTACCAGGAAAGGAATATCCCCAACAACAGAACACTCTGATCCAGCATATGGACAATTGTATGGTCTGTAGTTGCAAATTGCCTCATGTTTGAGCTTGCTATAATAGGGAAATATTTCCGGGCATCCCAAATTGTAGTATTTGCAAGGCAATTCAAGGGACTCTGCCACCTTCTCCAATGCTAAACATCTAATATCACCAAGTTCCTGTCTACAAGTGGGGCATCGGTTGTGTACTCTTGTTTTACAGGTAGAACAAAGTGTATGTCCATTGTGGCACTGCAAAAAGCTGTACTGTTAAAACGAGCAATTTATCCTCTATTATTTACAAATACCCCTGCTACCTAATAGTATAATCTACCCCTGCTATCTAACAGTATAATCTACCCTTGCTATCTAATCAAACAAAAATTTAAGATTGCAGGGTTCCAGCACAACATCTCTCCAATAAAGCTAGTAAAAAACTGAAAAACATCCCTCCACCGATCAGAAACATTTCTAATTTGAAAGGATTCTCAATATGAAAAATTAACCAATTCCCTCCTTTAGAGTGGAACTTGCAGTTTTTCGTGGCTGTCTATTTTGACGAAGTTGTCAGGGAAAAACTATCCCAAAACCCAAAATTTTCCCTGAAAACTTTAATCAAGTGCATTAGTAATTGGATCACTACACCTGTCAATGTAATATTTCTTTAGGGAAATTAATATTCCAATGTCTAAGAACCACCTCCATCAAACTCAAATATGCAATCTAACTGGTTTTTCTCACAGTAAATATACGTCAAAGACTTTCTAGGAAGTGACTATGTATTAGCAGCAAGATCAATCCAATGGCTAAATCCAATTTAAGACACATGTTGCATCATAAGTGCTTCTTCATCTTTCCTTTCTAGGCGTCAACACAATTAATTTCAATTTTGCAAACCATGCTGCTAACCATTTTGCAACATTAATGAAGAACTCTAATTTCTACCACAGCATTGCTAAAACAATATGTTAAAAAATCCAGAATTCATGTTTTAAAAAGAGACCATAACACAAATAATGCTTTCCGTAATTCCAAAAGGGGGTTTACAAAAACCTAAACTTAAATCCAATCAAGAAACAATCTCAAATCAATTTCTTCATAGCAACAAAAAATAACAAAATTCCATTCAAAGGCACAGCAAATCTATTGAAACCAATCAAGCAATCAAATTCAGCATCAACAAAAAATAGCAAAAGTAACAACAAAAATAAAAAGGCAAAACCCCCAAAATTGCAATGCAAAAGATTAAAATAAAATTGAATCAGACCTGATGGATTGGTGGGTACATAGAATTGGTACAAACAGGGCATTCTAACAATTCATGGACGCTGGTTGCCGGAGCAATCGCCGTAGAAGCCACAATATTGTTGATGGTATTAGCATTGTTGGTGTTGTTAGTGCCATTGTGAGGCTTTGACGATGAGAATTGATGTTGTCCATGATGAGGGTGTGGATGATGCAGATTATGGTGATGGATCTCATCCTCATCCATTCCATCCATGGATGACACACACTCGATACTATCCAACTCCATTCATACACACCCCCTCCCAAAAATCATCCAAGGTTCAACTATTTATTTGAAACAGACCCAAAATTCCAAAAAAATTTACAACATAAAACAAACCCCACCCCAAAAAGGTAAATCTATGGTAACTGCCCTAACCGGTAAGGACAACACTCTCAACTCGTGTCTTTTTTTTTCTCCCTTTTTTGTTATAAATAAAAAAAAAAAAAATGATGCTAAATGTGTGGGAAATTTTTTCAAAAAATAAAAAACCTAAATTCTTATAATTACATTTTATTATAATAATTTTAATTTTGACTTTTTCTAAAATTTACCGAAAACATAATGGCATATGTTAATTGATGGCATACATATAAAATTTAATCCTATTTATTTAATTAGGAACTTTATGAATTCTTACTACTTAAATTAAACATTTGTTAAATAAACTATTAATAATGAGGGTATAAGGGATTGTATTTGATTTTATATATATATATATATATATATAATATGGGTATGGTTTGTGCTTACTACATTAAAAAGCGCAATTATAAAAAGCTTAAATCACAAGGTGCCACAAATTATGAGCTGCCGAAGGCGAGGACTGAAGAGTGCAATCAAAGTCTACACAAATACTATGACAATTGGCGGACGTAAATCATGATTTAATAGTATGCATTCGTTTTAAAACTGCAAAATATATAAATATCTTCCAAAATTTTCATTCTAATCATCAAATGCCATAGCTAGCAAGAACAAACCATATGTGATACTTGAAAATATAACTCATACAGCACTGAATTCCAAACACTATCTGATTATTATTGATTGCTAAAACTGAACTGAAATCAACCAAAATATCCATTTTGGGGATGGGTTTGGTTGCTACTTGCTACTTGCTACTTGCTACATGCTAAGTAGAATTAAAACAGCATGTTGTTTCATAAAATGGTGGTAACTGTATGTATAATCTATTAAATTAATGTGCTGTACAATTTAAGTTACATCTACAATTTCATCAAAATCATCACATGCTAGCAACAACTGAAGGAAGCTCCGTTTCCACCTCAGCCTCCCCATCCGATCCCTCCACAGTTGTCTGCAACGCCAGAATTTTTAATATTAGCTACTCACAAATTATAAATACTGACCTATATTACAGTCACATAAATATAATAATGACCAAGTCATACACACCTCCAAGTCCTTCAATTTTTGTTGTGAAAGGTAACGGTCCAATGCACCTTTACCATAAAGAATCTTGGCTCCACTTCCACGGCCTTCAGATCCAATGGCTTCCTCATCAACTACCACTGCATCTATTAAATCATCGCCAGTCCTAACATCCGGTATCTGCAAGCAGAGATATAATAAAATCCATGATATTACAGTTGCATGGTATCTAAAAGCAATTGGTCCAAAACAAATAAGTAATTTAAGAGTCACTGGAAGGAACACAGATACAATCTAACTCAGTGACACTGACACCTTGTTCTAAATTCATTCTAGTCAGAGGTTCGTGTTTTTTTATCCCCATAAACTGAAAGTCTAGCAAAACTTTCTGCTGTATGTTGCAAGATCTCCAAATGCACGCCTGTGAAAGCATCAAGCTGAGCTCAAAAATGGCATTGAATCAGGGTTTATTTTGGCCATCACTCTGTTTGGATAATTGATTGGAGAGAGTAAAAGGTCATTAAACAGTTATGGTCCCACCAGAGTGGGGCCCATAAAGGGATGAACTGGAAATGGTCATTCCATTCAGAGGACTTGTCATACTAACGCTCAAGTCCATAAGAGGCCAAAGCATGCCACATAAGATAGTTCTAACTCCACCGAAGATATCTCTCAAGGTAGGGTCTGTAGCGAGAGAAACAGAGAAGTCCTATTAAGAAAGGTCATTTAGTTCTAATAAGAGAAGCTTAGAATATAATTCTATTCACGACCACAGTTCTAATAGTTCTGATAGCCACCAAAATTTCGTAATTTAATCTGCCACAAGCTGGGGGCAAGCAACAGATTTATGCATTCAGAAATTCTTAGATAGCATTTAGAGTCATGTAATAAACAGGCCATATCAAGCATAAATCAACTTTAATAACTTTCTTCACTCAAATCACCAAATCCACCAACAATGGCTTCCACCATAACACCAGCAATCTATGGCTAATAGCAGGTGACAAAAATAAGAATAGCATAACACAACATACCTCATACATGGCATCCATCAAGATATTCTCCAAGATGGCTCTTAATCCCCGGGCCCCTGTATTTTTAGTTATTGCTTTTCTGGCAATTAATTTCAAAGCATTTTCTGTCATATGCAGTTTGACCTGAGGGAAAGAAGATCAAAGTGAAATTAATTGGTTGTACATAATTGCAGACAAATTAAATGTACTGAATACAAACGGAATTAGCATTTCAAAGTAGGGACATAATTCAACTTACGCCATTTATTTGGAACATCTTTTTGTATTGCTTGCCTAGGGCATTTTTTGGCTCTGTTAGGACCTAAAAAAGTATTGGTTTCAGTAAGAGTAATATAGGAAGCTGAATTAAACAATCGCATCACTTATGCGAGCAAGGAATACTTTAAAATAACAATAGTAGCACCTTCGAAGACTATAGTTAAGTAGACAAATTGCATAGACCATTAATCTTCCATTACATTTAAAAAAAAAAACAAAAAACAAATGTCTAGAGATAAAGGATAAGGCAACACAAGTGCACTTTTCATTCTTGAAAACTAATAAAAGAAATTAAAATTATGACTGCAACAGTGACAGCAACCACTTCCTGCCATTCTTCATCACCCCACAATAAACTACTAAAATCTTATTAGAAAAATATAAATTTGCAGACTAGAGAGCCAAAAACAAAGTAAAACATTCACCTGAACAAGTTGTTCTTCAGTTAGAGCCAATAAACTGACAAGAACTGGGAATCGTCCAACAAATTCTGGTATCAAACCATATGCAATGAGATCGCTACTTTCAACCTGCAAAACAAAAGGGGTTCATATAGAATGTGAGTATCTAAAATGTTATGTCTCAACTATTTAGGAATAATTTTCTTATTGAATGCTACAGCGCACTTACAGTCTCCATTAAAGATGATGCCACAGCAGCATTTGTAACACCACCAGCTCTCATGTTTGCACGCACTGGGGCTCCAAAACCAATAGAGGAATCTTGACGTCTGAAATGCATTCAAGAAACTTTAAATTGATATTGGGTAAAAAACTAGCAGCATGTTAAAAGTATTGGATAGAAATATTGTAATTTCTATATTGGTATAACCTTTCTGAGATTGTTTTCTCTATGTCAATAAAGGCACCCCCACATATGAATAGTATATCCTTTGTGTCAATCTGTGAAAAAGTATTAAGAAATCAACAGAAACAAAGCGGTTCTGAATAGAGGTGGAAATAAGCATGACAATGCACGACCCAGCGAAGTTAGAGTCATAGAGACTTTGCCATGATGAATCCTGATCAAATCTTGAAACAACAACAGCAACATGAATATCTTATCCATGTGCTTGACATAGAGCATAATGCAAATAAGTAAACACCCATCAAACACTGTTACAAAACTGAGTGTATGTACCTGAATATTTTCACCTCTAGGATGCTTTCGAGCCCCCTTCTCAGGAACGTTAACAATCTGGATAAAAAAAAGCTCCATGGATCAGCATAGTGAAACACTTATAAATCAACCCAATTAAATACTAATTACAATTAGTTATTAGTTGGTTTATGAATAGATAACAATTTGCAATTTCATCTGATCCAGAGTTGATCCATAACTAGAGCCAATAATCCTAAAATCTGGTGCCACAACTTCTAATTGTCATTTACAATATAATACTCCACAGTTAGCAAACCATGCACTTACTGTTCCTTCTAGCATCTTTAGTAATGCCTGCTGAACACCCTCCCCAGACACATCCCTGCTAATGTTAAGGCTCTCAGCCTGCATAGCAAAATGTAAGAGATAAAGAAAGAACAACAAAAAAGCAAAAGAATTTTGCACAGAAGAAGGAAAGGAACCTTTTTGGTAATCTTATCAACTTCATCAATGTAAACGATGCCCTGCTGTGCGGCTGCTACATTATAGTCAGCAACCTAAAAAGTGCATAAAAGAATATTCAAAAAGGGGGTATCAATCAACAACATGCATCAGAGTACAATGCCAACAAATTCCTCATGAGATAAAGAAGTTCCATTTACATTATGCTGGCCCTACCGCAAGTGAATTTGATATGCTAATCTAAAAATCTTTCACTCTTACTAATTCTACTTTAAAGTTTATCATATGAAGACCTATCTAATTTAATGTTTATATTCATAAATAATAAAGTTAACTTCAGTAAAGATAGAAAATGCATGCCATTAAAAGGTAAAGCTTTTTAATTCATGTAGAGTACATAAGGCTCTCGAATTTACCACAAGAAGCTTGTATAATATAGATTCAACATCTTCACCTACATACCCTGCCTGCAAATAGCATAGGAAGGACACAACTTAGTTCCATACAGCTGTTAAGTAAATAACCAAATTTCAAAAGAAGAGGTATAATCAATGATGAAATATTTTCATAAAATAGATGAAGAATACAACAAGGAATTATATAAAAACATATATTCACTCTTAATTTCATAAAATAAAAATGCCAAAGAAATTCAAATTTATTATGATTGTCTACAGCTGATGCACGGCAAAGAGATATTCCCTTCCAGGGGGACACTGACAGAGAGAGCATCAAACTCTGGTAGTAAATAGTACTCCTTCCATGAAGATCCTTGTGGGGAAGACGGTACAATTGAAGGGAAAACCCAGTTTACTATCAATGTCTATATGATCCATTGAGCAATTTGATCATCTTTGTTACCTAAGTTTCATCTAAATGATACTCTTTTACACAGAGAAGACCAAAAATAATCCTAGAAGCACATCAGGAATATAGAAAACAAAACAAAATTCCATGACCCATGTAGGTTATTACACTTAATAAAACAGGACTAAGTTGTTTATTGCACAGCTAATTAAATGAAAGTGAAAAGCACCAGAAGAGGAAATTAATTCATATAAGCAGGGAATTAATAAAGACATTTAATCAAAACAATCAAGAGCCAGCAGCCTGCCTGAGTCAAGGTAGTTGCATCTGCAATAACAAATGGAACATTCACAAAGCGAGCCAAGGTCTTGGCAAGTAATGTTTTCCCTGTCCTTGAAACAATGTCAAAAGGGAAGATGTGAGACTAGTAACAGAAAATAAAGATGATTATAGTCAAATAAATATCAAAACTACCAAAGATAATCTAGAATTGACTGGAAAACAAGAATAAGATATCCATTGTAGTAAAAAATAATGAGTAAAAATGGAGGTTTATAAATCCTAACAGCTGTATTTAAATGTTAAAATAAAGAGGTTAAGACAGTAATAAATTAAGTTAACTGCAACTCAATCAAAGAAAACCTCCCTTGAAAGGAACCTATGTCAAACAGTTAACAATCACCAAGTGGATATATAGAAGTAGAAAGCTCAGTTTGCACGCCTAGTATGATGAAAAATTACCTGATCCGGTTGGCCCCATTAAAAGAATGTTACTCTTCTCCAGTTCCACCATATCATCATCTAGTACATCTGCTATACTGCTACCTGAATCTCCTGTAGGCCTAGCTTACCAAGGAAACATGTTAATAACTGATATTAACCATAAGAAACAATAGACACAGCTACCACCTTTTTGAAAGCTGACTTTCTAATTCAAAGCTATCCTTGATATGCTCAAAACTCACTAAACAATACTGGCAATAACTAACTGTCACAACTAATAGGAATAGAAAATATCTAAGGATATTCAATATTCTAAAATTTCATTTGTAATTTTGTATTGCTATGACATTTTCCTTTTTCTTTTCCTTTTCCTTTCTCTTCTTTTTCTTTTTCCTAAATATTTCAGATGTGTGAATCAAATGGTTTCTAGACATTTGCAAAGCTGCATGTCTAACAATTAACTACCTCAACCATCTACTGTTATGAACTTACAAGTGTAGGAATAAAATGAAGGAAACAGATTAAAACAAGAACCGCATATCCTGAAGGTACTAAACTAACCGTTTCTGTAAAGACTCATGGTAGATTCTCATATAGTGGTTGTAAACAGCCACTGATAGAACCTGCATTCATGGCATAACATTAGACCAAAAAACAAAATGTTATCATTCAATTTTGACCACCTCATCAATGATAAAAACCTACTCCCCTAAGTGGCAGTGTACTAACAACCCTTATGACAAATGCAGAACATAGTTCAACGTCTTAATAAAAACACAAATTAAGATAATGATACGCATACAACTTCAAACCGATCAAGTATAATTAAGGAACTAATCAATCAATGTAGTTTCTAATTTCTAAGTACTTTTGTTGAAATGGAGTAAAATAATTATAGTAAAAAAACCTCCAACGCCAATAAAACAATTATAACCATCACCTTCTTTGCCCTCTCCTGCCCAATCACAAACTTATCCAATCCTCTACTAATCTCTTTGGGAGTCGGAAAATTATGCCCCAAATTAGATCCCCCCCAACAACCATCCTTTGAACTTGGCCCAAACCCGCCTCCAGAACCCGTACTCGCCCCTCCACCTACTCCTCCTCCTCCTCCACCACCAGCACCACGGCCCAAATTCACCCCCCGAATCGCAACCCCATCCCCAGGAGGTTGCCAAACCTCCGGTGGGTCCCCATGAGAACTCAACACCGTACAATTATTATAACTCAATTTCTCTCTAAATTCTCTATCGAAATCCTTATTTAAACCGTGGGAGTTCCTCCTAATATCCAATAATTGGGAACCCTTTTCCATGAGTTCCCCGCGAAGCGAGACGGGCTTGAAAGAAGTGAAGTGATAAGGAGTGCTGACAAAGTGGTCGTCCCATTTGGTACGGTTGGCGGTACAGTGAGAGGAGCTAGCCATGCGGCCATAGTGCATGAAATTAGATAAAAAATGCCTGAATTGAGAGACCGTTAAAGAGGCTGTTTCGACGGAAGATTTGGATCTGAGGGCAGCAGCAGCAGCCATGGAAAGGAGAAAGATAGACAATTCAAAGGAAATTTGGGGGTCAAAGAGATGGTAGATTTCAAGGGTTCTTCAAGATGAAATTTTTTTAAAGGGGCTAGAAAATCTAAAAGTTGAATTGAAATTGGGTTTTTCTTAGATTTGCGATTATCATGAATATGAGAGGGAATTATTTGTTGGAAGTAGATAGAAGGGGAAGAAAAGATCAAAATGTGAAGAACAGACATATTTTATTCTAAGGATAAAAGATGTGAAAAAGAAAAAATAAATAAAATATCTAATTACAGAAGAGGACATGTAAGTTTAGGAATATCCTTCGAGATATTGGGGGTAAAAAGGGTAAAAAGTAGATAAAACGACGACTTTTTTGGAATTAAAATATCAAAAGATAATTCAAAATTTTGTTAGCACAAAATGTCAAAGAAAGATTATTGGAAAAAAATTGACATCAACTTAGTTATACAAAATATAAAAAAATAAATTAAATCATGATATCAAATAATAAAATAAGAATTTAGTTTTTTTAATTTTTTTATATGTTATATTTTAAAATAAGGTACTTGTTTTTCTTAAAAAACTGCGCACTTCTTAAAAACTACTATAAATAATTTACTTATAATTATGGAATTACGAATCAAATGGCACCAACTGAATTGAAAAATTGACGAAGAACCAAAGAAAACTACTGTAAAAAATTTAAAACTAAAGATAATACATGTCCATTCACTTAAAAAAAGCTATCCACCTTTGCATTTTTTTTATTTTCAAAACGCTTCTTTTTAAGACAAATTTTTTTTTCACTGTGTCAAATTCTAGTGTATTTGATAACAATATATGTATGGACACTTTCCAAATGGATAACATTATCTGAATCTAAGTAATGGTAAATAATCAAGGTTGAATAAATAGCATTTGTCTTCTGTTGAATGTAACATTTAATCTTATAATTTTGATAAAGGCGTTTGGTATAGGATTGGCTTGATTAATGCTGCAAATTCCCCTTATAGATTTGTCATGCAGAAATGTCCAAATGGGCAAAATATTTAAATCATGTCTCACTATTGCTTTGTTAATGGGCATTCATCCATAGACGGGTAAAGGGATATACTCCAAATCTTTTTTTGATCATAATCACATTTGGCAACCCTAGGTGGACCAAGCCTTCAAACAAGGAGACTAAGATGCTAGGGTCAATATAATTTTGACATGATTTTCAACAACTTACCCATTTTTTTCTGGATGGTAGCCAGAAATGGTTAAAGTAAAGAAAGAAACAGATTGAAAAGGTTCTTTTTTCATCAAGCTAATTCAATGATTTTCTTGTCTTAATATGACATTGACACACCAGCCAACGATAGAATTGCAGACAACAGAAAAAGGAAAAAAAAAATGAAAAAGTTGGAAGACTGTAAAATCATATGGTAATAATGTTCATGAAACCTTCTCAATTCTCACACAATATTGCATTACAGAAAAGAAAAAAATTTCTGACATACATGTCTCGAGTAGTCTAGTTCATTCTAGCAATGAAGGCTTGTATTTGGGCAGGTTTGACACAAAAACCAGCTGCACAATGCAGCAGAAATAATCAACATCCAAGGCTGTGGAAAACAACTTAATAATATTGTTGCAGGCTTTGTTAGTAAAACCTGCTCTTAACATATCTGCAACTACTTTCTTTTATGGGTTGGTGTTTGTGGAGGGCACAGCCACAATTAGGCTTGCTTATCTCCATTACATGCACTGCAAAGTGACTGATGATGACAATCTCAAGCCAACAAATCTAAGGCCTAATAGAAAAACAATTTGATATTAAACAACATACTAATTTCTACATACCAAGTGAAGCATTGGCTTTGCAGGTAACTTAACTAGTCATCTGTCATATAATTCCTAGAAAGTAAAGCAACCATTTTATTGGTTTCTGTCTTTTTTCCCCTTTTTCTTGCATCTAAAACAAATGTATGCAAACTTAGTCTCAACATCAACATCAACATAAAAAGAGACCTTGCTGTTGGCTGTTATAAGTAGCCCAGTACTGAAATCCACATCTATTGTCTCTAAAGTTCAATGCATCCAGCTTTGCCAATTTGTCAAAAGACGCTCAAATAAGTGAGTAGCTCTATGGGACAAGTTGATGTCTACCCTCCCTCAAGTTTTTCACTGCTTACCTCTATAAACTTCCGTGGGAGGCTTAGAATTGCCATCATAGTATCAGCAACAAGAGTAGCATATTCATCATGCCAGTCAACAAGGTAGATCCCCCACTGCATTGGCTTATCAGGTGCTTAACACCTCCCCCACAACAACATGAGAAAGTCTTAAAAGAAATCCCCTCGTCAATGAAATGAAAAACTGAAATGAAAATAGTAAATCCTAGTTTTCAATGGTATGTAAAGTCTAGTTTAAATTTTACATTTTTGATCCAATCCATGCAAAACTGACCAGAATGTTTTTTCCATCACTGCATCATGAATGCATGTGGCATTTCTGTTAGCAAGCAAATAGTATCTAGATGCTGGTTGTAAAAACTCAACCATCAGAAATATTGTCGTAGGTTTTAGTTCTAACCACTTGCCATTGGGTTCACAATTTGAAAGGCAAGCATACTTTTGGTTAACAAAGAATAAAGTTCTGATAAAGAACAACAATTACATCATTTCACCATACAATCTCTGATCAACATTTCAATAAGTCTCTACACAGAAAATTTGTCTGCAGTAGATTCAAAGTAGACCCTAACATGCAGGGCAAGTCAAAATTATGTTAGGATATAACTCAAACATCAGTTAATAGTAAATTAGTAGATTAATTGCCATGTTGGCTTTCTGCCTTCAATATGGTCGTTTTATTCATCTATTTTATATTAATAACGAGTCAAATTTACGTTCATTTGCCTTTGTTCATAAAATAGTTCTTTGCTATTATGTTGTGATTGGTTCCCATCAAATTCTATTAACAGCACGCTTCAAGGAATCTGCAATTTTATCAGATAATGAAATTCCCCATAGCAATTAAGGAAGCTCTAAGGAATCTGCATATTTTCTCTAATGGTGAAGCTGCCCTCCTAACTAAAGAAACGGTGGACGTACTCCAGTCAAAACATATTCATTTGAGATAGCAACTTCACATGTTGCAGCTACTTAAAAAGACATCTAACAATTATCCCAGACACTTTTTGACGAGACTGACACTAGATTACAATCATGAGTAGGAGATAAGAGGTAAAGAGCAAACATGACCTTACTTGAGTTTTGTACTCAGATCTTTGGCCTCACTTACTGCAAGATTTGCAGCATATATTGCCATCTTCTTCACCTATACAAAGAATACCTTGCTTGAATAAGAAACATCTTTATATTTTGTAAACTAAAGCAGTCAAATTTGAGTAGAATTGACCACAAAAAGCATGCCATAAATAATATGCAGTTGACAAACATCTGTAATTTTGTCTCATGAACATCAAAGCCAGTCTTTCTAAATAATAATGAGCACTTTGATAGTACAGCTATCTGTACACATGAGTCATCACTTGTGTTTTATATGTGCAAAGAGCAAAATTAATTTAATATGTAGGGACCAGATAAACTATGTGCTGCCTAAAAATGAGTAAAGTAACATGTACCTCCAATTTTGGCAAAAAAAAACATGTACCTCCAATTTGTCTTCCTTAGCTCTATGGCTTTTCGGAAGCAAGCGAAACTCCTCTGTCAACCTTATGCACTCTTGCACATTTTCAGGGGACACAAAATCAAGGGCTACTTTAATGCATGACTGGAAAATAAGGTAAGAAAGTGTTAACTTGAATAAGAAAGCAATATCAAAAGGTTAATGAATAAATGCTGAATTACCGATAGTGGTTATAATCAAAACAGATCTGCAATATCCCTTGCCTTTGAAATAAAGTAATATGTAAATACAGATCAGAATTTGAGTTCAGGCACTCAAACTACCTCAGAGAAACATGCATCTCGGTGGAGGACAAAACACAACCACATCATGCAAGAAAGCAAGTTTAGATAGGGTTTCTAGCATTGCCATATAACAAGCTTATCAAAAAGAGGCCTAATGACTGCCAGAGGAACCTCACCTGTCTATTTCTTACTTGATGTGGGCATCCTGCAGGAATGAAAACAGCTTCACCAACATGTTGCTCAAATGTCCAAGGTTCAACATCTATAGAACAATTTTCCATTAAAAAGGATAGAGTTGATTTAGTGTATAGTGAAAAAGACTTTAACATAAGAAATTTCTTACTGAACTCCTCCTTCAGCTGCCTTTTATGTCTCTCACTGAGATAAAGGGTCTGATCATGAATAGGATGAATAACCTAAAGCACATGTTGCACATCAATTTGAAATAATTTTCCTAAAAATATAATCCCAACGGGCAATGGCATGAGAAGGCAGTGATACGCACAGAATTTACAGGAAGATTACTAATGTGATAGAACTCTTTCTGATGCTTCCATAAGTACTCAGTTAACTTAGGTACATCCTCCCTCCGGAAAATATCCCAAACAGCAGCACCATATGCATTCTCTGAAGACTGGTTTTCTGTAACAGACTCTCTAGTCGTATTTGTATCAGGTCTTACAGACCCTAAATCCTCAATTCCATTAAGAGAACCCCCCTTGCTGATATTTTGTGTTTCACCCACATTGTTTTGATTATGTTCTTGATTAAACATCATTTCCTCCATCTCATGTTTAGCATCAAGTTGATGTGAAAATTGAAGTTCTCCAGTGGCAGTGGAGTTCGAGCATGAATCAACACCTGGCAAGGAGAAAATATGCTCAGCCACATCCTGAATCTTGCCTACACTATTGTCTAGTTTTGCAGAATATTCAGGATTCTTGCTTTCATCTTTATGATGTCTCTTTTGCCTCTTTCTTCTGAATATCCGTGGCACCTTCCGTGTCTGACCACAGCAATATGGATGCAAGTTTTCAGCTTCATATTTCTTCTGCAACTTATCAATGATTTTATTCTGCCATGGCGGAATTTTAACATCAGTCGTGTGAGTCAGCACATTAACCTACATAGGAGAAAGAGAAAAGTTCAGAGATTCTTGATCCGAAGTGGCAGAGAAAGAAAGAGAAGAGAAACAATAACATCAAAGTAAAAAGCCAAATTACATAGTGAGAAATTATCCAAATCGTAGACAGGTGAGGAAACAGAAAAGCAGATCATGCTTTTAAAGTGAAATAACAATTGTCCTGAGGCAGTTGTATTATTGGCAAGTCAAGCAATAAATCAAGGATTAGTTTAAGCATTCTCCTAGTCATAGAATATCAAAAGATATAGGATTGGTAGAATTACGAATGTGCATGCTTCGAGACATGAAAACAGACAATTTAAGAAATGGCATTTCTTATATGTAAGTCTTGAACAAACTAGTTGATCCTGTCAAAGGTAAATGAACAGAAGAAAAGTGATGAAAAAAATCAATACCTTTGTAGAAAGCAACAATGCCTTACACATAAACTTTACCAACAGTTATTCTAAAGATTATTGCATACCGCATCAGAAATGTCACAATGTAGTTTTGTCACTGAATCACCTCTGCCAAGTTCTTTCAAAGATCCATAGGCAATGTACGTTTTGGGTCCCAAATCCGGCTTCAAGACAGCAGGAAGTTTGGTAGCAAGATTCAGGATACCGGAACTTGGATGAGTATAATCTTTAAAAGGAAGCATAGCAATAAATTCAGCACCATGCCTAGGCAAACACTCTTCAAATGAATTTGATGCAGGCCAATCCTTCAACTTCAACATTTCTGGCCATCCGTTCCTATACCTACGACCCTCCAAGTAGCCTTTGAAGAACCGAAGAATATTTATTTCAACCTACAGCATCAAGAACAGACAAAAAAGCAGTTCACATTTCAGTTTGTGCAAAATTACTTTTAGCATAAATCCATGTGCCATTCTGCCACATAAAGTAGCAGGTGACATCTAAATATGTACAGGCATATGCAAATATGCAAGACAGACACAGAAGAACAGAAAGTACTCAAGAGGCATTCAAATCTTAAAAAAAAAAAAAAAAAAATCAGAAAACCTGAAAACGGCCAATGCATTTAATAAACATTACTACTAAAAATTTTTCATTTCCTGCTCTACTCACCCAAAAGTCTTGCCAAGGAAATGATACTTTTGACTGAAAACATGTACGTTATGCATATACAAATAATGAGGTACTAATCTATACTCATAGACAAGATCCAAGAAATGCCTTAGAAATTGGATAATTAGAAGTAGAGGACAATGGAAACTGGAGTTTACACAAAAAAAGCCAAATAATAATGACTGTTAGACATGCTATACAATTATGATGTGAACCTTACCTCTGCACACCAACCATTATCCCTTGAAACTTCTTTTAGTTTTTGACTCATGGATCTAACACGCCAAGAAGGAAATAAAGAAGATAATAGCAATGAGACAGAGGCAACAATGGCCCGCTGGGGTGAGTATGTATGTCACTATTGAAACTACTAAAAACAATGAAAATGGAAATAACTTCTTAGCTTCTTTTGAATTCATTGCAGATGTTATAAAGTTTTCATTCAGTTCTGTAAGTGTAGGAAAACACTTATTTACAGCTGGTTGTAATCTTGTAATCTATATATTTATATTTGTATCTCTAGAATTAAGTATTTGTATCCCTAAAATTAAGTACAAAAAATTAGGATAGACAATCCCTCAATTATAGGATCAGTTTTTAAGGAAAATTTAGTTTCCTAGTTTAACCCCTAGTTAATTATATATAAACTTTAAGATTCTTATATAATTCTAAATGAGCTACATTCAGTTTATTTCTTAGTTTTCCACACAGTTTTATTTCTTAGTTTTTTCACATGGTATCAGAGTTTTAGGCTCTTATCGGGAAGCAAAATTTTCAGCCTTCATTGCTGACTTCTATTTTAGGCCTTCATTGCCGAACCCTGTTTAGGCCTTCATTGTCAAACCCTATTAAGGCCTTCATAGCCATTCTATTTTTCCTTTCTTTAGCCTTCATTGCTATGAGTCATTTCTAGTTATATCTTAAGACTTATTTCAGTTCAAAAAAAGATATCACTACCACCCAATTTGAGGAAGTATCAACTGAGAAAATTACCAGAGTACTACAGATGTCTCGGAAACAAGGAGAGTTCGACAAGGAAGAGATTGAAAAGCTAAAAAACCTATTGAAAACCCTTGAAAAGCCTACTGTGGTATGTTCCTTGAGTAAGGTCTCTAGTTCAGGTAAAGCTTCTGGTTCTCATGGATTAAATGTCTCGGTTAAGCTTATTACGAGTTCTTAGGTCATTGACTCAGGAGCCACAGACCATATGACACATTCCTCACAAAAGTTTAGTATAAATACCCTGTGTCCTAGTAATAAGAAAATTGTTGTTGCAGATGGTTCACTTACTACAGTGGCAGGAGATGTTCAAGTGAATCCCTCGTTTGTTCTAAAAATGTTCTTCATGTTCCTAGATCGTCTACTAATCTGATATCTATACAAAAACTTACCAGAGATATGAATTGCAAAGTGACTTTTATCCCTCTTATTGTGAATTTCAAGACCAGAGTTCAGGGAAGAGGATTGGACTTGTTAAGGAGAAGGATGGACTCTACTATCTTGAGACATCAAATAACACAAGTAATATCAAGAATAGTTTATCTTTGTCATTTCTTTCTGAAAAATCTTCCAATAAAGACAAAATCTGGCTTTATCATTTTCATCTTGGACATCTTTCTTTTGGAACTTTGAGAAACATGTTTCCTTCTTTGTTCAAAGGATTAAATGTCGAAGATTTTCATTGTGATGTTTGTGAACTTGCAAAGCATAGACGTGTGTCTTTTCCAATTAGTAACAAAAAAAGTTCTACTCCCTTTATTCATAGTGACATTTGGGGTCTCTCTACAATTCCTAATATTTCTGGTGCAAGATGATTTGTTTCATTCATAGATGATTGTACCAAGGTCTCTTGGGTTCTTTTACTTAAATCCAAATCAAATGTGAATAGTGTGCTTTTAAACTTCCAAAACATGATCCAAAATCAATTTGGAGTGAGAATCAAGAGATTTAGGTCTGATAATGCAAGAGACTATTTCAACCAGAGTCTATCCACCTATTTCCAAAAGGAGGGGATTATCCATGAGTCATCTTATGTTAATACTCCACAGCAGAATGGAGTGGCAGAGCGAAAAAACAGCCATTTACTAGCCACAACCCGAGCCTTCCTTTTCCAAGCAAATATACCCAAATCTTACTAGGGAAAGTTGTTCTCACTACCACACGCATTATAAATAGGTTACCTTCAAGGGTTTTGGGATTTAAAACTCTTATGGAACTACTTTCACAATTCTATCCCAACCTTAATACCACAAACAATCTCACACCTAGGATATTTGGTTGTACATCATTTGTTCATATTCACAGTCATAACAGGGGAAAATTGGATCCAAGAGCGATTAAGTGTATCTTTATGGGGTATTCCTCAACTCAAAAAGGATATAAGTGCTATCATCCTCCTACCAAAAAATTCTATGTGTCTACAGATGTCACTTTTGAAGAAAGTAAACCATTTTTTACTCAACCTTATCTTCAGGGGGAGACTTCATTCATGGAAGATAAGGATAAAGACTTCTTTTTGCTTGAGTTGTCCTCTTCTTCAACATTTTCACCCATTAATTCTTCTGAGTCGAAATCTGTTTCTGCTAAGCTCAAGTCAAACACTGAATTTGAGTCTGAACCCATTCCAAATACAGAAGATGTGACAAAGGATAATATTATTCTTAATTCTATGAAGGAATTACAGGTGTACTCAAGAAGGAAAGTTCCAGATCCTGAACCAGTGCCAGTCAAAAACCCTGATCCTAACTTTGGAAATAAGGTAACTATAGTTTTTTATTTTGTTTCTCAAAATGAGCATGAATCTCCTAAAACTATAACTAGTGATTATGATCTACTTATTGCCATTAGGACAGGAACCAAAGAATGTACTAAGTATCCACTATTCCCAATCTCTAATTTTGTGTCATTTGAAAAATTCTCACCATCCCACAAAAATTTTCTTGTGAGCCTAAACACTATTTCTGTTCCAACTACATTATCCGAGGCATTATCCAGTGAAAAATGAAGGCAAGCCATGAAAATAGAAATGGAGGCTTTAGAGAAAAATAAGACATGGGAATTGGTAGAGTTACCTAAAGGAAAAAATCCAGTAGGGTGTAAATGGATTTTCACTGTAAAATACAAGGCAGATGGTACTGTTGAAAAGTATAAAGCCAGGTTAGTGGCTAAGGGCTACACTCAAACCTATGGAGTGGATTATCAGGAAACCTTTGCTCCAATTGCCAAGATGAATACAGTTAGGATTTTGTTATCATTGGCTGCAAATTACAATTAGCAGCTTAAACAATTTGATGCAAAAAATGTTTTTCTACATGGTGATTTGGAAGAAGAAATATCTATGAAGATTCCACCGGGATTTGGGGGTCATCTAGAAGCAAACAAAGTATGCAAGCTGAAAAAGGCTTTATATTGCCTTAAACAGTCTCCTAGGGCTTGGTTCGGGAGATTTGCTAAAGTGATGCTAGCAATGGGATATAAACAGAGTCAAGGAGATCACACATTGTTTATCAAGCACTCTGATTCAGGGAGAGTCACAGTTATATTAGTGTATATTGATGATATAATTGTAACCGGAGATAATGAAAAAGAGAGAGAATCTTTAAAATAGTGTTTGGCTAGAGAATTGAGATAAAAGAGCTAAGGAGATTGAAGTACTTTCCAAGAATTGAAGTAGCTCATTCACGGCATGGTATCTTCATCTCACAACAGAAATATGTGATGGATCTTCTAAAGGAAACTGGGAAGCTTGCATGTAAACCTGCAAATATCCCTATAGAGCCTAATCATAAAATTGGAGAAGCTAATGAAGATGCTGCTGTAGATAGAGAGATGTGCCAAAGATTAGTTAGAAGACTCATTTATCCCTCACATACTAGACCTGATATAGCATATGCTGTGAGTGTGGTAAGTTAATTAATGCATAGTCCTAAAGAAGTGCACCTACAGGCTGTTTACCGTATATTGTACTATTTGAAGGCCAATCCTAGAAGAGGTATCTTATTCAAAAGAAATTCGAAGCTAGTTCTAAAAGCATATACAGATGCTGATTATACAGGTTCAATAACTGGTAGAAGATCCACCTCAAGCTACTGCACTTTCTTAAGTGATAATCTTGTGACTTGGAGGAGTAAAAAATAGAATGTGGTGACAAGATCAAGTGCTGAAGCAGAGTTCAGAGCAATGGCTCGAGGAATTTGTGAACTAATATGGTTAAAGATTATCCTAGAAAACTTGAAAATCAAGTGGGATGGACCAATGAGACTCTACTGTAATAACAAGTCTGCAATAAGCATTGCACACAATCCTGTGCAACATGACAGAACAAAACACATTGAAGTAGACCGGCATTTCATAAAGGAGAAACTAGACAGTGGGTTGATTTGTACACCTTATATATCAACCAATGGTCAACTTGTAGATGTATTGACTAAAGGTTTCAGCAGTGCAACATTCCAAGAAATTATTTCCAAGCTGGGAATGGAAAACACCTATTCACTAGCTTGAGGGGGAGTGTGGGAAAACACTTATTTACAGCTGGTTGTAATCTTGTAATCTGTATATTTATATTTGTATCTCTAGAATTAAGTATTTGTATCCCTAAAATTAAGGATAAAAAATTAGGATAGACAATCCCTCAATTATAGGATCAGTTTTTAGGAAGATTTAGTTTCCTAGTTTAACCCCTAGTTAGTTGTATATAAACCTAAGGTTCTTGTATAATTCTAAATGAGCAGTTTTTCAATATACATTCAATTTATTTCTTAGTTTTCCACACAGTTTTATTTCTTAGTTTTTCCACAGTAAGCACTAGACAAGATGAAACATGATCTCACCAATTGATAGCATAAACAATAAATGCTTTCATTATTCAATTGCAACATGCTATTCAATAAAAACCAACTTAGACCATTGATAACCAGGTTGAAAACCATAGATCAAATACCTTAGTTTTATCACATAGAAGACATAAAAGTTCTGAATGTAGTTATAAAAAGTCAAGATGTTCATGAAGCACATAGCAAAGAAGGAAAAAGAGAATTAGAATTAGAAATGGATCAGTAAAATGAAACCATTGAATCACAAAAGAAGCCTTTAAACATGCTAAAGAAGAAAAGATACCTCACACCAGTCCAAGCAATCAATTGCTTTAACCCTCTTTGCCTCCTCTTTTAATATCTTTTTTGCACCTATAAAAGCCCTCCACATAACCATTGGTTCCCAACTAAGACCAGAACTTTTTTCAAGTACATTTCTAACAATAACAGGTTCACCTCGCATCCAATGGATTTGAAAATGCTGAACTTTTTTGTCTTCAAACTGCATAACATTTGGGCAGTAGATAAAATTATCATGACTGTTCTCTCTATGAGCTGCCTGTCTAACTTCAAAATTTTTTGCTTCATTTCCTGCAGATCTGTTGGTTTGACACAAAGAACATCCTTCAGAAAACTCGATATCGGGTAACTGAAAATTAATGGTAAGTTCCTCGGCACTCTGAATCAGTTGGTCAACTGTATTAGCTTCAAAGAAGCGTCTCAGTGAAAGTGTCTCACTACCACAACCACCCCTATATTTTGGAGGACAAGGAATCCTACCATCTGCCTCAGATCTCCAATCAAGAGCATTAAATGACATATCCGAGATGCACTCGTTTGACACAAAGCTCTTCCAACCACATCTTACTGTCACTGCAGGAATCTGGTCATCTGAATCTGTAGCTTGACCATTTACTCTTTCAACAGACAGCTGGTGAGAAGATTTTGTTTCATTACCTCCAGGCTGAGATCCTTTTCTAATTTCATGACAACATGTGATACATAGATCATAAGAACAATCAGGATTCGGGCAGCTTCTGTGGAAATTGCCAATGGATGTATTGCAATTGTCACTGTCAAATAAGAAGACATTCATAGTCATAATATCATGTAAATATGTGTTGCCTTTTGACACTCGAAAAAATAATGGTCATGGCTGCTAGTACCATTAACAGCAAAGCTAAAAACTTGCAACTATTGAATATAACCACACATCCAGTTTTCTCCAGCCAAGAAAATAGTATCATTAAATAGTTATTTATAACAAAAATATCTTTAGATGCAAAATTCATAATAAAGATGAAAATACAAAAGGCAATAGAAGACAGCTAGAACTGTCAACAATGATGCATGCCATTATTAATATACAATTTCTCTACTCCAGAGAAAGGATCATTAATAAATGCCCACATTTCTTAATGGCATGAAATGGTTTTGATTTCCACAAGACAACTTAGACGGGGCCAAGCAGACAAGTGAAGGACAAAATAATGGTAAGTTATATGAATTGATCTCATCTTATCTGCACTGTCCTAGGCTAACCCTTTTTCCCATCACATCCTACTAGTTGAAATATAAGATAACTACACTAATTACCTCTTCCCTAAAATTAGTATTATCAGAAAATATTACATCTCCTATCCTCTTACAAACAACCCCATCTTTCAGAGCCACATCCACTATTTTCCCTACCATTTTTTATCTTAAAAATTTAGAAAAAAAATAAAACTAAACTGCAAACAGATAACCATGGATCTAAATGACATCTTCTATTTATATAGAACCAGACACCAGCCATTCCTTCCGTCCTGATTTTAGGTTTACAAGTAATTCAGTCTCATGTTTATTAAAAAAGCAAGAGAGAGATAAGATGTAAAGAATATAAGTTGTTTCCAAGTAACCAACATGATAATCCAATACCTGCCGACCATGTTTAATAAAATAAAACAAATACTTGAGACAATCAATATAAAGAGAACAAAAAAAAAAAAAAAAAGTTTCTCCTTGGGAATCAAAGAGTATGAGATGATACCAATACACTCGATCGTCATCATCTAACACAGATACCATTATATCCTGTTCTGTCAATTGCTCACCTATGAACAATAAGGAGGCACACATCACTTAGCATTCTGAACATCATCTCGTATAAAAACCAAAACTTACAGAAAGTAGTCATATCACATTATGGTACCACGTATACTGGTTTCCACCTCTAATTCAGTGTGTTGCTCCTGTTGTATATGCCGAAGGAGAGGCAGAATTTTATGTAGCAAATAAAGCAACTTTTGCAGTGTGATATTTGTATCTGCTTCATCATGTTCATCCTGTCAAATTAGCATGTGACATTTGGCATCAGAATATATGCCAGGAGACAAATTTAAGATAGCTTGAACATCGGAGACAAAGAACTAGGCACTGCTCAAAAGGTCCTTGCTCCTATTGGTCTTCTCAGGTAATGGCCCAAAATAAAGCCTCATGCTGGCCAACTAAACCAAGTAGTAGGAAAAGGCTTTGTTGTTGTTTGTATCACCATGTATAGCCACAGAAGTTAAGCAAATGAAACAGAAAGAGAGAAGAAAACTAACAGAAGGCACATACCATGACAATTAAATTCTCCCTGAGGCATAATCTGCAATTACAATTGCCTTGACAAAATGGACAAGCAACTTCTATATCCTCTCTTGTTTTCTCTGGATACCTGATATAACTCATTTGAAATGGCATTAGATCCCCTTCATATTTACAGAATGGATATCAGTGTTCAAAACAATGGTCTAATGAAATATCAATTATAATACAGATGCTAATTCAATAAGCCAACTTAACTTCCAAAGCTGAAGAATTTAACTGTTCTCCAGATAACAAGAAGAAGAGATTTGCAAGATCTATTTACCATTTTGCAAGGCACTCATAGCAATAGCGTTTCATTTTGCAACTGGAGCAATTGACAACACTCTTCTTACTCCTCCAGCACTGATGGCACATCAAACCCCTGTGCGCATTCTTCTGGCTGGTATCATCCTGACAAAGAAATCAAGCTATAATAACTTGCCAGTTGCCACCAGAAATTGGAATTGAGACATTCAGTCAATGTGATTTTACAATGAATTTAGCTGAGACAATGGAAAAGAAAATTTAAAAGTGAATGTAACTTATCCTCTCATTTTATAAATAAAATGGCTCCCCTCCTGATGGCTCTTAACCAATGATTACACAGTTATAGGGGAGAAAATAGCAAACTCAAACAATTTGGACACAGTAAACAAGCACAAATATTGCAAGAGATGCCTGGTAACTTATGGGCCTCTGATATCTTTTTAAGCATTTGGGGGAGGAACAATAAAGTAACCTAACAGCCCGTATGATGTCCATTCCCATCTCCTACCACTCAAAAGAAATGTGACTGGCCTTGACAGCAGGGATCTTCTATATTCCCACACCAAAAATCTCCCTAACCAATACCAAAAAAAAAAAAGACGGGGGGGGGGGGGGGGGTGCGGGAGGATAGAGAGAGAGTGTAAAATTTACTTCAAAGAAAAAAATTGATTCTTTCAAAGAAATATCTGTTTATTTCTTTATGCAAATCTCCACTATACATGAGCCATGTAGCAAAATACAGAAAATATAACTGCAACCAGTTCAAATATTTTGGAAACCTTCTACAGCACTCGCAAGTCAAGCTAAATCTTCAATTCTATTCTTTTTAGTTTAGGGATTTCCTTTTGGCAAAAGAGTATGTCCTAATGGGGTATCAGGAAACAACAATATCAGAAGTTTAATTTATCAACATGTTCAGTATTCAAAAGCAGCAAATTTGCTAACATTCCCTGTAGTCGTCCTCACTAACAGATTGGGTGTAAAGCTTTATGGTTTAGTTATTTCACATACATGTTGACATGCCCTAAATTAATAATCTCTTTCAAAAACCTCATCAGGATTATGAAAAACATGGTTATGGAAAGACTCACTAATGAAACTGAACTTTCTGATTGACTACTACACTTCTTTTTCCTCCCTCTACTCTTCCTTTGAGCATTGCCAAAACCAGCTGTTAATACATTTCTTTTCATGTTTAAACTGCCTCGGACACCAGCTGTGAACCCTTTCCTCTTCATGTTTAAACTGCATTGAAGATGCTTACCTGAAACACCCTTGCCCATTTTCAAGTTATTTCCTTGTTCTACTTGTGCCTGAGACTTGTCAATTCTATACTTCTTTCTCACAGACTCCTTGCTAAAAAAAAGTTTTCTCTTATTCTTTGCACCTTTTGGTCGGCCTCGTTTCCACTTTTGCTTTCGACCATCATTCTTGCCAATAACATCCCCACCATGATGGGCTTCTTCTTTTGCAGAAACAGTTGGCTCCTTATTCTTCAAATCCTCTTTACACCAATGTTTAACCATAGGACCCATGTTCTCAGAGTTACCTTCATTAGCATCCGAGTGAATTCTCCTACCTTCTTTGTCTACAACAGTATTTATCTCACCCAAAGTAATAGCTTCAACAGGCACTACCCTATCTTCCTCCCTTTCAAGGGCAGTCCTCACTAAAACAGATCCCTTATCAACATAATAGCCCTCTAGAATTTCAACAGGCACTCCGTGAGTCTCACTACCTTCTTTATTTTCCTTCTTATCCTTTGAACCTTCGGGCAAGCATTGCTTATCTTTTGATTGCAATGTCTGCTGTTCACTTGACATTCCAAGTTTTTCATCACTAAGCCTTTTCTGCTTATTCTTTGAACCCTTTGGCCGGCCAACTCTTTTCTTTGGTTGGACAGCATAACTTTCCTGCTGAATTCTATCTGCACATTCACCCACAATTTTACCAGACAGATCGTGATTTTCTTCAGCAATTATTTTCATCTGATTCTTAGAACCCTTTGGTCCACCATGCCCCCTTTGTTGGCCTTGTTTCTCTATCCTTCTACCCCGATCATTTCCTTCTTGACTACCACCACCAACTTCAGAAGGTATTACCCCATCTCCTTCCCATAAAAAGTTAGTTCCCTCGTTTTCCAAAGCCATAGGCCTCACAGATTGATTTCCGCCATTATTAATGCCCCCCACTATATGACAATACATGTCTCGATTCTCACCTGGAAGACTTATCTCTGAGCCCTTTACCGGAGCTTGTTTCTCTACTGTGCAAAAAATCTCACTTTTAATCGTACCATCATCACTAACTCCACCTAACCCTTTAATGCCTTGTCCGGCAGCAAGAATTTTCTTCTTATTCTTTGAACCCTTTGGCCGACCACGCTTAGGCTTCAACTGCACAGTGTCATTTGCCTCAACATTAACATCTTCCTGCCCATTCCCCTTTTGCTGACCCAGATTCACTTTCCTTCTAACAATTTCAATTTCATCTTCTCCTCCTTTGATGCATTCACCTGAAAAACTTCGCATTTTCTTTGAGCCCTTAAGAGGATCTTGCTTTTTAACCTTATTATCACTTAAACCTTCAATATTTTGTTCATCACCAAGAATTTTCTTCTTATTCTTAGAACCCTTTGGCCTACCACGCTTACCCTTAGCCTGCCCCCCCTCATCTTTACTGCCTTGGTGCGCGCCTACATTTTCAAAGGAACCACCTTGACCTCCGTTTCGCTCACCAGCAGCAAGGCTTTCAGTTTCACATCCGTTTGCACATGCAATTTCGTCAAACAAGCCCTGAATGCCTTTACCATCCACATTGCCACACTCAGCTTCACCAGAAAACCACTGGATTCCTTCAGCACCAACATTCAAAGCCTCATTTGATCGACCACTTCCACCAAACAGGCCTTGCATTAGTCCATCAGCAAGACCTATTCCACTATTTCCAAATGCAACCCCACCAGACCCACCCATCTGAATTTCCCCGCCACCAAGACTCCTAAATACACCATCTTCAACAAACCATGGCTTGCAACCTTTGCAATCAACAACTTCACCATTATTTCCACCAGTTTCTCCACCAAACCCTCCTTGAACCCCATGAGCACTTTCACGAGACCCAACAATCCCAAGTCCAAACCCAGCTTCAACACCCCAAAGCTTAAAAGTTTCACCTCCATTCACACCCCCATCTTCACCAAACCACTCGAAAACACTCTCAACACCACCACTGCCTTCACCAAACCAGCTTTTAATTCCCTGATCACCATCATTTCCAGCAATGACTTTGACTTGTTCATTCCCATCATGCTTCCCAATTTCTTCCACCACTGGACTTGTACTCCCTTGACTTATTTCTTGACGCTTTCGCTTCTTTCTTTGAGTACTCACTTGAGGTCTACCCTCACTGCCACTTGCACTCATCTTTCCCAAACTCCACCTTTTTTGCTACTTCTTTGCAAGGAATGGAGAGAGAGAGACCGTTTATGGCACAAAGACTTACCAGTCTAAGCTCTCTCCCTACACCTCCAGTTTGGGTGCAGCTTCGATATTGATGTTGATCATTATACAAGGAAGAGCTTTTAAAAGGGCAGTTAGTTTAATTGAAATTTAACGCTTTCGGCACAAAATATTGAAGGAAATCAGCTGGCTACCGCACAACCTATAAAAGTTAACTAAAATTAAGGCAGTAGGAACAACAAAACCTAAGAAAGGACATCCCTTGAGTCATCATACAGAAGTAGTAAATGCTATACAAGTAATAGATGTAGGAGTCTAGCAGTCAGTAAATGTTGCAATTCTGAAGAGACAAAGAGAGACCCGGAGTCATCAGTTAAATCTCACTTGTCAAACAAAATAAGGGTTTATGGTTCTTTGCTGTGCTGTGTTAAATTGGAATTAGGAAAAGGGCAGCGAATTTATTTATGTTTGGACCAAAGGACAGTAAGGGGTCCCACCACTAAATAGTACTTGTTGTTGACAATTCAAAGGTGGTAAGTGCTCGCTGGTAAGTAAACACGTTTAGATGCTGCGACACCACATTGCGCCCATAGACTTTACTTGGACATAGGTTAGGGAAATATAGATGTTCATCTCGTTGAACATAGGTTCCGTGAACATGGGATCCATGGTCTAGCGGTTAGGACATTGGACTCTGAATCCAGTAACCCGAGTTCAAATCTCGGTGGAACCTTCCAGTGATTGTTTTTGTCACTCCGAGGCCATTTGAATCTACTGGCAGAATGGTTGGACATTGGAGGTTCTGGGCCTCACTTAGGTATCAACTTGGATTATCGCTCCTCAACAATTCCTGTTTTTTCTATTTGGCATTAGGATTCTGTAATTTACAATGGATTGGCATATACTATATGATTATTTATCGCTTTGAACTTGTTGGTTGTTGCCGCATTCATTTGGGAAAACAAATACAGCATCAAAATTCAGTTTTAAAGTCTTCAAATATTCCCATTAAAGATCTGTATCAAAATTCAGCGTATACATAATCCCAAAAATAAATAAATAAATAAAACCTAACATTGATCATCATCAGTACAAGATTTTAGCATTTGCAAACTCGAAACCCAACATCTTTTCTTATTTTCATCCAAAAAAAGGGGAAAAAATCTAAAAATATTCAGATTTATTTTTCTTTCAACTTCTCCTCTTCCTTCATTTTCTTCTCCCACCTACGTTTCTTATAAGCAAGCAACATCTCAGGCATTTTCTGCATCAAAGTTGCAGTATTCTCCCTTTTCTCAGCAGCTATTCTGTCGCACTTGTGACCTTTCATCTTACTTTTCATCTCTTTCCTCTCTGGATCGTACGGCCAATCTTGGCCTGCTAAAAGCACTTCCTTTCGGAGCCTGGCTCGACGTCTAGCGCTGATGCCCAGAGGCTTCCAGGCTCCAAGTTCCCAATACCCCCACACTCCCTTTGATAACTCAACTTTGTACTTAGCCAATTTCTCACGCCATGGATATTGGTATTCCCCAACTGCCTTCACCACAGATTGCGCTGCTTTGCCGGCCATTAAAAATAATTCCTTTTTGGATCCTGAGATAAAAGAAATTTCATTTAATAAAATGTGTTTGGTGAAATTGATTGATATAAAAGAAAACAAAATTTTGAAGCTTGAGATTAACACTTACAGAAGAAGGATCCGATGGATGACGAAAAGGAGACACTTTTTTCAGCTGAAGCCTGGAGCAAGACTGATGGAAATTAGGGTTTTTGCTACAAAGCAGAAGAAAATTCAATTAAAAATAGGGAATGAGATTGGGCATTTTGGGCCCAACTCATTTTGTCGGGCAAGGATGGAACAGCTTGCCAGTGACTTAGGCTACATAAGCGGTTCACAATAAAAATGGGCCAAAAGACCCAAAAAAATTACTGAATTGACTCGCACCCTTCTGGTTTTTTTGCTTTAGGAAACTTTAATTCGGAATCGGATTTTGCTGTTTCAACAAAGTTCACAATATCTTGGATTACGCTTCCAAAGCTTCAATGATTGTTCATTAAAGTTTTCTTGTAAAATTTTATAAAGTCAATATCTTTCATTGATAGCTCTAATTTCAAAAATATTAGTTATTTATGAATGAAAATTAGTATCACAAACATGGTTATACTGGGATAGTAAAGGAATATTTATTGATTTGTTATCAATAGTAAAAGTAAGACGATCTGTTAAGACAAAAAATAATAAATATTTATGAATAAAATTATTTCCTAGCAAGATGTCTCCATACATGTTAGGAAAACATAATATTTTAGAAATTATAAATTTTTTATCATTTAAAGAAACACGAATATTTTTAGCTTTTAAGCTAACAATGGTTTCCTTACCATCAATACCAACTATTATAATAGGATGCTTCATGGGTTGCCATTTGGTTAAGGCAAAGCATTAGGTCGACAGCTAAAGATTGTTGCTTTTGTGTTAATCAAAATATCTAAACTATATGGTTTATAGTTTTGAAAATAAAAATAACCTTGTACATAAGTATAATATCGAACCTTTTTGGTGAATAAAATTGTTTCAAGTGCAGATATATGAAAATTATTTATAAAATGAAACATTTTAATTTTTTCAGTTCTAGTGTTTCTAGAAGAAAAAGTGTGTGAATTTAACACAAAATTGATAGAATATTAATAGGATTGGTTATCACTTGTACTTGGCTGAGATTGATTATCTCCTATAAATATAGAAATTTTACCTGTATTATCGTTATGACGCATGTTGTTTGCTCATCATAGGGCTTCTATATGATTTGTACTATGAAATCTTTAAAAAAAAATTTGATAAGGAGTACAAAAAGATTGATTACTAGTTATATTCTCTATATCATCATCTTGTTGATGATCAAAAGCATTAGTAGGGGGTAAAACCAGGTTTGGATTAAAACTGGTTTATGCATGTGGATTTTTGAAGTAAAAATTTTTTCTTAATGAGAAAAATTCTAAACTTGGTACTTTCTATTTTTTAGAAGTATCAGAAATATCTTCTAGATACCATCCTTTTGGGATAGATGAGTCTTTTATTTTGACCAATTTTGGTTTGATTTCTGAATCAAAACTATTTAGTTCAAAATTTTCTATAATATTAGAATCTATCGGTTTGATATAAGTATTTGTAGTATTAGTAAATTCATAAACTGCTGACCAGTTGATTGAAACGTCATGCGAGTTGGACTTAAAATCAGAATTGGTTATTTTGACATGAAGACATAAACATTTTTCAATGTTTTCATCAAAAATAGAAATAAAATAATTTGATTTAACTTTAAATAAAACTACTCCTGCTACTAAATTGGACTGGATTTCACCAATTACAGCATTAACGGGATTTTGAAAATGGTTATCTAAAAAAATAACTATTATTGGAATATCTTTTGTAGATAAAAATAGTGGTTTAATGGTGATCAAAATCATACCTATATGGATGTATTTGACCTTTGGATATTTGAAAAGAAAATGGCTTATTTTCTTTTTAGTAAAAAGAAAAATTTCTACCGATCCTTGTTTAGAATCGTTGGCAATAGTATCACCAGATAGTTTTCCTATGTGGGGCTTATACCAAGGTTGAAATTTTTTAAATCAACTTGTTTTATAAATCTCATCTAGCTTGATGAGTTGTAATTCTTTGATTTTTTCTTTAGAAATAAAATGAGTTTTTCTCATAATATTTTTGAGTTTAACCATACCTTCGACTTTGATAGTTGTTGTACCTATAGAAGATGTGACTAAAACATTATCTTAGTTAGATTCCATATTCAACATAAAAATAAAATCATATTCATCTTCAGAAGAACTATAATCAGTTTCAAAAAAAATTTCATAATAAATTTTTTCGTCGGATAATTTATTTGTAAAAAAAATTTGAAGAAAATTTTCATCAAGTTTTTTGATCATTTTCTTAGCACTTTTTCCTTTGTTGGGGCAACTGTTTGCATAGTGACCTTCTTGATCACAAAGAAAACATTTATAATTTTGTTTAGAAGATTTTTTCTTCTTTTTAAAAACAAATTTACCTTTTTTAGGCTTAAAAGTTGAAGTGGGTTTCCATTTTTTTTGAAGATATTTTTGTTTTTTCTTAAAATGATTTTTCTTTGAAAAAGACTGTTTATTGCAGCCAAATTCAAATTCATTTTCCAAAATCTTTGTACATTGTTTATACGAAAGTTTAGACTTTACCTACTTGACAGTTTTTTGCTTTAGGCAGTATTTTGTGATCTGAGTCTGAACATAGTGTATTATATATCCAAGAGTATCATAGAATTTGATACTGAGATTTACAGCATGAACTGTTTTGAGTTTTAATTTTAAATAAATAAGATAATTTTGTGAATATAATTCATCCCATAGTGAGGGAAGTTTGAGAAAATATTATTGTAACCAAAACTTTGAATGTTTTTCATCCAATTTTTGATATTCAGAAAGATATTTTTTAGAGAAATCATCAAGGTTCCGAATATCACATAATTTTAAATTTGATAAAATAAATTAAGCTTCTTATGTGGGATCCAGAGATTCTATACTTTCACAAAACTCATTTTTTAAGATTTGGGTTAAATCTTTCAGTAATTGAAAAATACTTCCTATGACTAACAACGTTAATTTTTGCTGTTCTTCGAAGGTTGTAGTTTCTCATTTTTTGAGAAATTGTAGGACATTACATTTTCATGTGCCATAAAAATAGTTAAGGGATCGTTCTTTGTTCCATTGTTTTTTATAATCTGTGACAACAATAGACATAGATTGTGCTAAATCATCTATGGTTTTTTCATAGCCTTTGAGAAAGACTTAGGTTAGATCTAAGTAAGTACCATATTGTGAAACCGTTCATTTGTTTAACGAATTGATGACAGGGGTTTCGATCTTAACCTGACTTGTTTGGTCAGATTTAGAAGTTTGTTTTATCTCATCCTTGTTTAGGTGAGAATATTTTTCTTTCAGATGAGGTAAATGTTAATCCATAATATCTGGGTTTAACAGATCTGAAAATCTTAAAGTATCATCAATATATGGGTTAGATATTTCAAATGCTTTTTTTTCCTCGATCCTCTATTTGAAGAATAAGAATTTGACTTGGTTCTGGATCTGTTTAATCTTCAAAACTATTAGTGTCATCTGATGAAATTAGTTCATCCTCTATTACTAGGTTAGTAGCAAGAATTTTAAAATTATCAGCTACTAAATCATTATTTGCTTCTTCACTACTAACATTGGTTGTATCATAGTTAAGCATATAATGATAATTATATTTAATAAAGATTCTTTTATGTTCTTCATAAATGGTTTTTATTGCTCGAAGATAATCAATCCGTTGTTGCGAATTTTTTATTTTTTTCATTTTATACTTAAAATTTTCAATTATATATTTATAAGAGTCGAAATTAATTTTTTTTGTTTTTTCTTTGCTAAAAAAGATAAAAGTTTTTCATCATTCATCATAACATTATCGTAACAAAGAGGTCCAAAGTCTATAGATGTATCTGGAGGAACTTATCTTTGATTCATCTTTTTTGTAAGTAAATCTACTTTATCTTCTATAGTATTCATTTTTATAAAAAGTTTATAAAAGAAATAAGAAGTTAAATCTATTAAACCATTTACAGTTCTACTTATGTTAATATTACTAAATTCATACTTATGATCTATATGTAAATCATGATTATAAGACTTATCTTTACAAATACATGTATTTTTTTCATAAGTTTTTATGTTTATGGTGCTTAAAATCGATGTACTATTCTGATCTAGTTATCAATGCCAGCCAACAAAAGTAATTCAAGCCAACAAACGTCAGTAAATAACCTCAGATATGCACGTATGAGCTTTTAAACATAGGCTTAAGAAGAAGATGCAAGTAAAAGGAAAAAAAATCTTACAAGATGAGCCACAAGTAGATCTTTATTACTAATCTATAATACAAGCTTAGCAAACCTTTGTACAAGCTTAGAGCTTTGATACCATTTACAAGATGGTGCAAAAAAGATCTATGTATAAAGGTTTATACAAACGAACTTATCTTAATTTATAATTAGAGGATGATAGATAGAAGAGAAAAAGATAGAGATAAAGGTAAGTAAGAGAAAATAAAATTTGAAAAAAATGCCTCCCCTAGCTTTGTTACAATGAGGCTTTAAATAAAAAAATTTTAACCTATGAACAGTAGCTCTGTACAATTTTTGTTACAGTGTACAGTGAAATTTTATCTATAGTACTTGCTACAGTGACTTACTACAGTATTTTCAATAGCATGTCTCTTTTTTTTTTGCTATAGTGATATTTTATCTGTCTGCTACAGTGACTACTACAGTTGACTGCTATAGTTTGTTCTGTCTGCTAGCGTGGGTGCCAAATGAACTTTGTTGTTTTATGTCGGTAGTTTATCCTGGCTTATTCTTGTTTAGAATATGCACATATATTATCCTTCCATAAGATTGTTTAAATTATGAAATTTTTCGTCCTGTGCATTAAGAGACTGGGGTGATAGAAGAGATCCATAATGTGATTTATTTCATATTTGTCATCCTTCTTGATATTGGTATAGTAATTCTGTGGGATGATCTAGATCTTTCATTTTAGATAACTTTTTCAGTAGCTAGATTATTTTTGGTTCATTTTGAATGTCTAGATCTTCATGTGGTTTAAAAAATCTGAGGATAAAAATATGTCTGTCATCTGTCTAATAAGCTATTTTAGGGTAGTCTGGCTTTGTGGCTAAATGAAGAAAAAATTTTGCTTTTTTCATAAGGTCAATTACTGTTTGAATTTGAATATTTAGCGATGGTTTTGTTTAAATTACCTGAAAA